CTAATTCTGCAAGACACAAATCCTCAATTATTCAGCAAAGACCACAAAATGCAGCTCACTATATTCCCATTCAAACATAATTATCATTTAGTGAGTGTTTCCCCACCGGCAAAAAATAGTCAGGTTTTGAGTACATGTTGTACCAACGCGTACGCATAATATGCATATACAAATACCTGGTACATACTATTGTCCTCTCTGGAGAACAGCTTTAAGGATGGCAAGGTGGCCCTAAGACTATTAGTGTCACTCAGCTTGCAGTGGTTGTGCTCCAACAAGGAGCAAGGTCATGGACATAATGCTGCTATATTTGTGAAAATGCTGTACTCGCAAACGCCCAGGTCTGACTCCAAGCATTTCTCCGAAAGGAAGTTTGATCAGGATCTGATCTGACAAGACTTTGGAGCGTGTTTGGAGATCGTACTACTCCCTCCCCAGGTACCAGCCTGGTATTTAACCTCCCCAAGCCGCTCAGGTGCTCTGGCGGAGATAAGCATAATTTGTGATGACATCTGGGCTACGCCGCAAGATAATGCTTCTTCTGGTGCGTTATTCAAAACACCTGCCAGGAGACGAGCTTCAGCTGCTTAAATATGCATCTACGGTGCATTTGTGGCTAAAGCTGTACTCAGAGTGGCAGAACTAAACTGAACTGCCACCCTCAGGAAAATTTTATTAGAACAATTTCACATTAAACAGTTTACGTAACTAGTTCTTAAATACACTGGCTTTCTAGAAACACTGTCAATCACTTATCCTGAACTAGCCCATTCCACTTTGTTTTTTTTAAAAAAAGGAGTATATGGAAATATTGACCAGATTCCTGATATCATTGCACTGGAGCGACTCTTTGACCTGCCATTGATTTTCTTTGAGAATGTCATTTCGGATCAAAACAGTGAAGACAGCTTGCCTTGAAAATCAAATCCTTAGATCCAAGTTGTTAGGGCTGCTGGAACTTCGCGCAAATGCAGACTGTCATTTTTTAGTGTCACCTGTAACATTAAAAGTGTTGACTTGGATCCTGTCTGCATGTTTTGGAGAGCATTAAGCAGTTCCTTTGTCCTTGTCTTTTTCTCCGGTACATAATAAATGCACCAAAGGGGACAGTTTGGCTCCCTATTATAAGCTTAATGGACATTTTCCAAAGTAAAAATTGACTGCTCCGTAGGGAAGCAGAAAAAAAAAAAAAAAGCCCAGAGTATTTTGGCATATATCATCATCTTTTGGGTTACAAAAGAAAGTATGTCATACCGACTTCTGTCCTGACAGGTATTCAGGCTTAAATATGTCACTGGGTCATCAAATTCATATACTTCAACCCAGCCAGATCATCTGTTCCAAATACCTGTCAGAACACTGAAACATATTTTTTGGTCTAGGGGTTCATTTTCCTTCTAATTGCTTTGTTCCTATCTAGTTGCACCCTTCATGGCTGACTTTGAAATTAATCGCTTTCTTACACATCAGGAAAAAAAGATCCATTACAGAGCAAATGTCCCCTATTTGCTTGAGAAGGACATGAACAAGAACATGAATTTTGCAAAATTATTGACTTTGCCAGCTTCCAAAAGAAATACATGTTGGGTTTTTTTTTCTTTTTTTGAGCACTTGAAACCACGATTCCCATCATACAATTATCAGACAGAGGAATTTCAGGCAACACCGAACATGAATTATGTTGCAGGGTGTACACCAATCCTTTAGGACTTTTGTACTAGGTAACCTGCTGTAGGTGACCCTGCTCTGGCAGGGGGGTTGGACTAGATGATCTCCAGAGGTCCCTTCCAACCCTACCCATTCTGTGATTCTGTGATTCTGTAAAGGCGATACAAAGATATCATTAATGGTTACTGTTTTGATATGGACGTATGAGGCCAGTCCTGTGGCATTCACTGGTTCACGGTGGGTTACCTTAGCAAAGGCTCTGCAACTGTTTAAACACGCTTAATAGTCACATTGTGCTGCTGGAGTAGAAGAGAATCTCAATCTCTTTCTGAAACGTCCCACTACTTTTAAATAAAACTGCTAAGTATCAGTAGCAAAATCGGTTTTCAGCATGTAAGAACTTCCTGCTCCTCTTAACTCTTGTTCTTTCCTTCAAACATTTTTTTGAGAGAAAGAAACCAAGTAAAGATAACCAACTTTGCACAGATATGAATGGCAAAAGTGACATTGCTGTCACTGAGAGAAATCCCTTGAAGCAGAAAGAACACCTCCAGCAAAGCTTTGGAGGGCAGATGAGAAACGAGCAAAACACAACATGCATTTTCAAAATTCATTCCAACATGAGAGAGGCATGGAAAAGATAATATCACATACATTTCAAGCCTTCTTTGCTCAAGTTGCCAGCAAAAACCTATGCTCACAGGAGAAATGGCAGCAAAGTTTAAGATGTTACCACCCCCTTGCCAGAGGTTACGCAAACCTGCACCTCAGCGCCTTCACAACTCGGTCAAAACCGCTTTGAAAAGCACATTTATCTCCAGTCACTGGATACTGCATGGAAGCAGCTGAGGTGAGTACATATACTCCACTCCACCGGTTACTCTAACAGTCCCTGCTGAAGACATTCCGGGGTAACATCTTAAATCGTACCAGCTAGATTTGCCTGGAGCTCACCTAATCTCTCTTTGAGGTTCCACCGTGCTCTCAGATCTTATGTAGATGGAGACTGAATTAGCTAAGCTACCCTTCCACTAATTTCCCAGCACTATCACAGGCAGGTAACAGCCCTACTGACAACTCTTTTAGGCTGTTGTCAAAGATCTCTGCATCTTCCTACTTCCCGGCAGTTGGGAGAAAGACTGGCTATTTTGGAATCCCTGCTGCTCCCAGCTGACCTACAAACTTCCTTCAGACCCATGGCTGGCAAGGTCACGAACTCATCACAGGGGACTGTCCTACTGTTTACAAAAATAGGCAATGTCTTCCCCATAGTTAGCTCTTCTATTATTGTGTCAAGTGCTCCAGGAACTACATCTTGCATCCAGGCCATTTGCCATGGTAATTATTTCCTTCACAGAGGCAAGGTCCCACGCACATGAAGCAATGTTAGTATTTTATTTTCTCTGCAAATAAAAAAAAAAAAAAAGAAACAAAGTCCACAGTGCTTGCATATAACCTGAGGTGAAGAAGTCTACGCAATTCTGGGGCCAGTAGACACGTTAAGCGTTGCACCGAAGGCAAGTTCTTGGATATACATCCTTGCAAACATTGTTCCTCTTCTGCTTTCAGAAACGAGGAAAACAAATCTCAACTCCTCTGGGCAGTACAGAGTCACATTCTCCTCTGGTTGTTACAGATTTCTTTTAGTGCCAAGTTTCTCTGTCTACTTCTACACAGTATTCCCAGAAGCCCTGAATCACTTATTAGCATTGTTACGAGGATAAACCCAAAATGAGAGAGATAAAGGTCTCTTCATAGTCCCATCTCAGCTCCAACTCAGCACTGAACCTTAAATTTACTGGGGTTTGGTTTGTTTATTTTGAGGGTTTGGGGTTGGTCTTTTTTTTTTGTTTTGCTTCCGTTTTTTTAAACTAAATTTTCAAGACTAAGGCCCCGTCAGTGCTTAAAGAGCTGCCGTGAACTCACACAGAGAACTATGTCCTGGCTGGGGCAGGCCGGTGCCCTCCCGTACCAAAACCAGCATCTCAGACAATCACAAAGCCCTCAGTATCTGTCAGCACACTCAGGCTGTCCTGTGAACGCAGACAATGACGCAGGCTTTCACCAAAATAGAGGCAGAGGAAAAAAACAACTGCGGATTTCTGGTAGTGCAGACAGAGCTGCCGGGTGTCACCCCTAAGGCAGAAGGCCTGGGTCTCAGTCCCCCTTCTTTCCACCTGTGGAGCACAGGGGTGCAGGCACTTGTCAGCTCAGGTCTGGAAGCAGAATAGCTGCACTGGAGTGGTAGGGACTGGAGCCAGTAAGCTGTGCTGAGCTCCTTCTCCGCTCCAGCTGGCTTGGACCCAGACAGCTCAAGTTTCTCTGCGTATCACTTCCCCGCTCTCCAGATTCTGGGGCCAGCACAAGCAGAGGCAGCCCAAATCTGTTTGCACACAGGATTTAAGTTGTTTTCCTGTTGTGTGAAGCAGAGCAAACAAAGATGAAAGGGGCAGCAGCTGGAATTACACAGCTTTGTAGAGATCCCATAACCATGTGTGCATTTCCTGTATCTGGAAATAAGGAGACTCTTTTTAAGCGCTTTACTTAGCAGCCTTTTACAAGTGCAAAGGGAAATTCACCCATCCTGCAACTTTAACAGCTGCAGCTGCAGAGTGGAAGCACAGAGCAGTTTGCTTACCCGCTGCTGCTCTCCTGAAACAGCACTTTCTCCCTACTGGAAGGGAGCATTTTTACCTGCTAAGAAGAATTAGCAGCAAGCCAGAAAACAATCAAAAGGGCTTTTTTTCCCCCTCCCACTTTCTCCCTGGAGTGATTGAGAGAAAGTATAATTTCTGTGAGGATAATAATCACAACCTGAAGCTACTGTACCATCTTCTGGTTAACGCTGTATGAAGCCATTCAGGGAGTTCCTCACCCACTTCCTTCAAAAGTCTAGAGGACAAAAAAAGAGAGTATATTACACTGCCAGAGGTGAATGAGGTACATCTATCATTCGTGGCTTTTTGCGCACAATCTGGTCACTCTGAAGGACGGTCATTCTTCAACTGAATCATGTTGCAAAATTATTTCTATCTCACTATCATGCTTTCTGTACAGTTATTTAACTATGTTCCTCACAGGAATTCAGTTTGCTTTAATTTCAGATTGCAAATAAAACCAGAAATAACAGCAATAAGCATTACATAAATTTAAGTATGTGCTTTTATTTTATACTTTCATGGCACATTTTGATTTGTAAACATTAAATTTCCAGTCCTCTTCTTCATATGTTGAAAATAACCACCAGACATTTCAGAGCATTACCTGAGATTTAAAAAAAAAAAAAAAAAGGAAAGAGAAAGATCTGGCATCTTTTACCTTGCTCACATACAGTACCATTTTAGGCAGAATTACAAAAGGGAATGTTTTCCAAAATACGATGGTTTCCTTTTGACTATAAAGATATAGAAAATGCATCAAAACACCTTAGAATGATCAGCCTTATTCAGAGGATGTTGCAAGTCACTGTCTCAAATAATTCTACTAATGCATAGCTGAAACACTGCATCAGTCCTGCAGCAACACGATATCAACGTTGTCATGAACACCTTGTAGAAGTAGCTCCCCTTGATAAGTGACAATTTTCCGCCGTTTTGCAGCCTTAAGAGTTCCCACTAGGGCTTCAAAGAGGTTGGCACACTTTTCATCAGCAAAGAGCACACCAAATTTCACGCTCACTTGTCCATCAGCATCTAAATCAAAGATACAACATGAAAACACATGCAGATTTTCTTGGGTTAGGAGATTACTGGGGAAACAAAGTAACAAGCAGTCAGAACATGGAAAGTAAACCCCATGGTGCTTCCCAGTTTTTTGGAACATATTATAAATGCTGATGATAAACAGCAGGCAAAACTCCTGCTTGGCATAACTTTCCCTTTTTTCCAGAGATTCATATCAAGGACCAAATACCTGTTATGTTTATTTTTACTAATGACTTTCTGAAACCTATGACCAGCATAGGCTACTGAACCTCTTCAAAGCATATGGAGGAAAGTAGTTTTAAATCATTAAAATGTTAATTTTTTCCCCATTTTTTTTACTTATTAATATTTAAAGTTCATATTGAAAAAGGCACAATGTGAATTCATTTTTCACATAAAGCAAGAATTTTAAAATATATGTGAAAGTTAGCTAGGTTATTTCTAAAAGGCAGATGCAGTCATACAAAACGCAAGATGTATCCATTTAACCTTTGAAAAACAAATGGAACTGAACTGAATTGCCTCAGAACTGAAATATACAAGCAGGTAGAACATTCACAAATTGCATAAATATTTGTAAAGAAAGAGGAGTTTTAACAATGAAAAACAATCTTCATAGAAAAGGCTACCTTCTAAGCAAGTTTAAGGAAAGCTGGAACTACATCTATAACTCCTGGATTAGTTTTAGGCATACAGGTCAATTCCTTCCAAATAATATTATGATGAACAGAACTGAAGTGTATGAATTCTGAACTTCAGAAGTTACCAAGGAAGGAGGTGGAAGGAAAAAGTGAAACTTTCTTTGATGGCTGTGGCAAGTATTGGAAATCTCAAGAAAAGTGTAATTTTGCAGCTGATTTTATTGGGAGACGGATTTCAGGCCTACAGCCTCTGTGCTGCAGAGGCTTAAACATTTAACTTCATAACAGAACTACTTTAAAGGATGGGACACGGGGAGTAACATACAGTCAAACATTAAGGAAATAAGCAAGTTTTCAGGTTACCTGAGCCTGTTTAATTAAATTTGCTGAGTTCATAGGTTGAAAGAACATGACTATATCTGTATGACATGTATGTCATATACATACATGCATGTGTAACATTACTACATCTGTATGGTCAGAGATATGACAATACTTACTTTTGGTCCCCAACCGCCGGATCTCCTCAACTAAGAGGCTAATTTCATGTTCCACATTCATTGTGGTCTAAAAAGTAAAATAAATTTTGATAAAGTTATTAGGAGACCTGTAAATCCTTTGCACCGTCCTGGGCTGTTCTCAGTTCATCAGGAATGTCACAGCACTTCGTAAATCCCAGTAGCCTGGAGACACACAGCTACAAGATAATCTGAGATTTCAGTCTTGAACGGATAAAGAGCCTCCACACCTCCACGTTTGAGAGGATGTAAACAGAAACTACAACCTAAGTAAATTCTAAACACAAATATAAGGAGTTAATCTCAAAATACAAAAAAAATGTGGGAAGGTCAGGGCCGGGGGGAGGGGTTGTTTGTTTTAAAGAATGAGGTCAGGCTGCCACAGAAACAGAGCATCCTGGTAATGTCACAGGTCTTCAGGGGCTTTGCAACTTTCTATCAATGCCCTCAATAAAAATGGAACACCTTCCTTTAAATTCCTCTCTGGAATATGTGCTAGATTTGGGTTTTAAACCACACCACAGCTTTCCACTTATCCTGGCAAGATACTGCAGACATCCAGCTGGTTACAGCAGGTTTGCACGCGCCGTGCAGCAGCTACCACACGCCTGCTGCTGAGAGCGGAACTGAACTGGAGACAAACTACGTAAGTGTCCCAAGAAGGCCAACATTTACTTCCATTCATAGCAATCCCAAGGAACTACTACGCTGCCAAACTTACCCTGTGCACCTCTTTGCTGTGAAACGGGGCAATTTTCAGCAGTGTGCACCAATGCCTTGCAACAGTTGAGCCGCGTGCAACTTCGTAGACGGCAACACTACAGTCGCACAAAACACTATTGGGCTACAAAGCATCCACGGTTAATAACTGCAGGCACCCAAAAGGTGTTTTGGGGTCTATGCTGTGCAAAGCAGCACCAACACAGTGAAACCTTTAGGCGTGGAAGTCCTTAAGCAAAAACTGGCATCCAGGTTAGCACAAGAAACCAGGCCCCACAGACACAGCAAAACATCAAATGCAGCTTCCGCAGGCACTAACAATGCAGCCTGGAAGAGCAGCTGCGGAGAGAACGCCTGGAGCTGAACACTGTCCAAAAGGGGCTTGGTAAGCACCAAGACCCTCTCACTCAGGAAACCAGGAATTCTGCACAGATCTGGGAAGTAAGCGGAGTTAAAAAATTGACATCTGGATGCACCACAAACTCTTCCTAAAGGAGAAGCTTCCCCTTCTTTCTTTTTTTTTATTGAGTTAAAATAGGCAAGAGTGACATAGTTCCACCTCCTGACCCCTCACGCTTTATCCAGAATGCAAAAAACCTTTGGCTTTTTTTTCTGATTTTCAGATCCCAAATGCACTTGCAAAAATCTATCTTTTTGATGTGCAAAATCGAGCAAGCTTAGTATCAGCATGGGTTTCAGGCAAAGCCGCATCCAAACCACAGTTTCACCCCTAACGCGTGTCAACGACACACACTCAAACGGTGGATGTCAGCAGACTAACAGCGAACATTGCAAGAGGATGCAAAGCTGCTGCGGTACCACCCCGGCAAAGTTGCCTTAAAAGGGCACGGCAGCAGGGCTGCAGAATTTTAATTGCCTTGGATGATTTTGACAAACTTTTCGATTTTGTTTAACTGAGCAGTGAATAAGTTGTTACAAGCCACAGAGGAAAATATGACCCATCTACCAAAAAAGCTTACACTATCGTTATTAATTGGTCAAGCTGTGAATTTTAACATTGCTTATTACAATGGCATAATTAACTTCTCTTAGAGATGTTCTTTTAACTTTAAAGGCTCTTTAACTTTTACCTCTTTAAATCCACGTTGATTTAAAATTATTTTCCCTCATACACATACACTGACAATTTAAATAGCAACAGTTAGAATTAAAAAAAAAAAAATTAAAAAAAAATCTCCGAGGTCAGAGAAGCGCGGCTGCGTGAGGAGTAAGGCAGAAGGGATTCTAGGTATTTTAAGCACACTTAAAATATTTACTTCATATTGTCATAGAGGCGACACACCAATGACCAGAAGCGCACTCCAACAATTAAACTCTAGTGTTTCCGATGGCAATACACTGCTGGAAGCCAGCGTGATTTTTTTGCAGTACGTGCTATGAAAACTAAACTTTCTCTTTATCTGCCGGAAATCCACCTCACGGTTACCGAGCACAGACCCATCTTCCCAACCATCCGCACCGACCTCTCCCGGTGCGGACCCTGCAAACAAACACCCGAGAAGACGGAAGATGGCTCCCCGGCGGGCCCGCGCTTGGAGGCAGAGCGCGGCCCGTCGTTCCCTCCCCACCACCACCGGCAGGACC